TATTCCATGATTTAAGCAATTGTTGTAGATGCAGAAGGTAGAGAAAGGTCATTATTAACTTCTACCAGCAGTTCAGCTTCTTCCGTGTTTTATGAGATGCAAGAGAGGCTGGAGAACAATGCACAAAAGAGAAAAAGCTCACCGATGGCTATTTTATTTTGTTAATAACTATTAATAAACTGTAATAATAACCATAGCAACGACAACAGTCACAACACGGATCATACACGGAATAAAATTAAAACGGGGAAGTTTCCAATCCCGGTCTGTGTAGTATATCTATGTTTTAATACATTTAAATTTTAAAATACATGTAAGGTATTGAATATTGATAGTGTTAGAGATGGTAGTACAAATTCTTTATATGTTCAGCTAGAATCATAGTAGATTGACAGCTGCTGCTAGTGGAGAGAGTGAATGAAAAGGAGGTGTCACTCTTTATATTCTTTATAAAGAGGACACACGGTGAGTCTGGCCTGTCAGTAACTGGAGGAGATAAAGGACTTAACACTCCTCCACCTAATGTTGCAGCTTCAAAGATCACTCATTTTATTAACCAGCCCCACCCACTTATAAAAATTAATTTTATCTCACAATAATAATAGTGTTTATAATTGAAGCCATTATTTATTATTATGTCTTTTTCTGTTTCTATTGTTTTTTCTGTGTTTACTGCTGTTAATTAATAAACTAGAACTTATACCAATGTAAGGTAGAGATTAGGCCACTCCAATAAGATTCATAGTTTCCCATTACAGAGGCGGGCCTGATGCGGGCGGGCGGGTTTGTTCATTTTCATTAAATTTATTCATTATCAGCTGTATAAATTGCTTGTATAATCAATGAAAAACCGCAATAATGAATAGCGATGCGGCCCCATGCGGGCGGGTAATGGGAAACAAGGAATCAAATTGGAGTGGCCTTAACAATATGTTATTGATAGTGTTAGAGATTAGCAATATGTGCAGTAACAATCCATCAGCCATTGAGCATGATTATGCTATAAAATAAGAATAAACTGATAATAATTATTCTAATTGTGTAGTATACTATACCTGGGGAATCTTGTCTTCGATTCCTTCTGAGGTACCAAGAGTTGAACTCAAGGAAACCTGTAAATTGAATAAACCGATCCCTTGGTATAACCCAGGGCCCTAAAAGTTTAAAATTACATGTAAGTATAAATTCTGTTTTAATATACCCAAATCAATGTTGCATTTGATCGCAGTGTACATAGTGACGTACGATAGAGTTGAAGCCCAAGTACCGATGGCAGTATATAGCAGTGTGAGGTTCCCTAGAAATGGACCAATAAAAATTAATCAAATAACAATTCATTATTTTCTTACGAAGACAATAAAAAAGTTAAACAATGTCATGAATAGGTTTCGAAATGACAGTTCATGTATGCATAATTTATGGATACATCTGTTTTTGTACAATCATACACACACAAATCATACACTGAATTTATGTGTAGGTATGTGTGTGTACCTAAACTGTACGCATAAATTTATTTTGTAAAAAGTACATACTCTTAATTTTATATGTATATATTTATTCTATTTACCGAATTCCTCAATTATTATTAAAAGAGGAATTACTCCAGTAGCAAGAGACAATATTAAGGAGTAACTGGTCGCCATACAGGAGTGAAAGGAGTCCACCTCCTCTTGAAGTTCTTTAGTAGCTTCATTAGAACTAGTGCCTACAAGAAACAACAGAAAGAAGTAGAGTGTCATTTTTGTAATGCTAGTGTCTTGTGGTCAGATTACAGAGATATGCGGGAGATATACGTGTATGCGGAGTATGTGTGCGTGCGTATGTATCAATTATCCCTGGATAATTAAATTAGATTATGCTGTACATTATTTAAAATTATTAAAAATAATAAGTGTCCATAACAGGTACATTTTGAAGACATTTAAACTTGTTTCAGCATTAAACCATACACTATGAAACTTGCTTCTGGAAACTTGTGACATGAAACATCTTTTATACAAGAGTACAAGAGTCAATGGAGCCTGAAACAGTTTCATGCAGTTAAAATTGTCTGGGAATGTCTGCAACATGTTTCATAAAACAAGTTTCATGGTGTAATGTACAGTAGCCTAAAATGTACCTATTATCATATCAAGCATACTCATCAAAACTATCTGACAAGTAAACTCTATCATTAACTTGTGAATAGCACAATTTTCATTGCATATACAGTACTGTACTTCTAAAATTCAGTATTTTTGTTACTATACAATAGTGATTGAAATAAAACAGAAAACCAACAACAATGGTATACGTACATCAGCATAACTTAGCAAACTATGATAATACATTGAAATAGCTACAAGGTTTACTAACAGCTACATGTTTAATTTGATAAAGACTATACATATGATAAACAACCACCAAAGACAAGTTTAACTGACCTGGTTACAAGAGAGATTAGCCTGACTGGACAAAGAATGGCTGACTTGGCAGTTCACTAAGAGACAGCTAAAACTCGTCAACTCCTCTACAACTTACATTCCATGCAGTTGTACCTTGATATCATTTCATACATTCCATGCAATCTGATGGTGCATTAGATTACATATGAAATCATTGATGTGCAAATGTAAATTGTGGAGGGGTTGACAAATTTTCTAATAATAACTATCATTATTAGTTCATTCAGGAGTCCATAATGGAGGGGGCATGATGATCACCGTGGAAATAACCAATTAATAATAATTAATTTATAACTAATTAATTTATTATCATTATTAATTAAATATCTGTATAAAAGAGTGGCAATAAAAACAATACCAATGAATTATTATTATTATTATTATTTACTTCATCACACACCTGACACCTCCTCTTTGACATTAATTAATATTACGATAACTTTAATAACTAGTAATAATCATGATTTTTAACCTTTATTAATTAACATCTTGGAATTTCTAACCCTTAAAATGGCGGATCAACTGAAGAGAATTCTATGCTCAACTTGTGCAAGCACTTTACTGAGAAAAGAAGCGACTGAGAGTGACAGACAATCTTCCCCTTCATTTTTAACTCGGCCAGTAGAAGATAAAGATAAGGAACAACCTTCAAAACGTCCAAAATATTCATCACCACCAGATTCACCTCCACCTCCTCCCCCTGTGTGCCAGTACTGTACAGGGCTACTCTATGACTCAGTCCAGTCTGATATAGTCAGTAAAGTGGTTGATGAGCTTAAAGGAGAGGACTATGTGGGTCTGACTAGTTTCCAGCTATGCATCAGTCTCCCCCAGTCCCTGCTCCTCCATCAGAAGCTAACAGAACTAAAGCTCTGCTCCAAACTACCGCAATATTCCAACGCTTTTAAAGACTCTCTTAAATTCAAACTAGCCAAAGAACTCTCGCTAAGATTGGGCCTGTCCTCCGAAATAGATTCTCCTTTTAAGATATCTTTACTCTTCACTCACCTCCAGACAGAAGAGGCCTATGTCCCTTTCCTGAAAGAAAGAGGCTGTACGAAAGTAACAAAACTAAGAAAGCAATCAAAAATAACATACACTCACGACATTGTTAATAAATCAGTCGATGGCTTAAACGACAAAGAATTAGATAAGTACTTTCCTGATTCTCTTCCTCATCTCTCCACTCTAACATCAGTAACAGTCCAGCTCTATCACAAGCCAGTCTTCATTGGAGGCCGTTACAATAAGTACTCTAGGACCCTCCCTCAGTCTCCTTGGGTTATTGACGGAGTCAAAAAGTCCGAGTCTTCAATACAGGAGATGCTCACTGGAGAAACTGAGAGGATTTTTCGACCCGACACAATCAAGTTCTCATCTTCAGGACGTGAGGACATTGACGTTAGGATGTTAGGAACTGGTAGACCGTTCATGCTAGAGCTAGTCAACCCACGACTCCTTGAGTATGAGGAGGAACAGCAGGAGCTGCAAGAAGCCATTAACAGCAGCACTGATGAAATATCTGTGAGGGAATTAAAAATGGTTGACAAAAAGACTAGCTCTATCTTAAAAACGGGAGAAGAAGAGAAAGAGAAATTGTACTCATCTCTGATATGGACCAGTCAATCCATCACTCCACAAGACTTGGTTTTCTTAAACGAGGTATCTAACCTGACGATAAGCCAAAAGACTCCGATAAGAGTCCTTCATCGAAGGTCTCTGGCAACAAGACAAAGACTCATCTACTCGTTAAAAGCGAAATGGATCGACTCTCATCATTTTCAATTGGACCTCTCCACACAGGCTGGTACTTACATCAAGGAGTTCGTTCATGGAGATTTAGGACGGACTACTCCTAACCTGTGTGGCATGATGGAGGGAAGAGTTGATATCATTGCACTGGATGTGATGGAGATTAAACTGAAGTGGCCTTTGTGAACTCAAATAAATAAATAAATAAATAATTGAAAATAATATCATTGATACACTATATTTTATTATTGTTGTTATTATTATCATCTTTTATTAAGTGATATTTTTTGAAGCAGTTCGTAAGCCTCATCTTCTAACAGTTCGGCCTTTTCAGCTAATAGACTCTAACACAAAAAAGAAAAGAAATAAACTTTGCTTTTAATAAAAGAAATATTGTTACTAACCTGAGCAGATTTGATCAGTTTCCCAGCCTGCCCAACATACAAGTGTTCAATTAGTTTAGATAAATCTGAAGGAGAATACTCAACAAGATCCAATGGTGATCTAATACCAGCCTGGACCAACTGCCTCGCTCTACCCTTTAAAGTAATAAACAATAATAATAAACAATAATAATAACAATAATAATAACAATAATAATAATATCATTGTTATTGACTTGTTTCATTCCTGGTATTTCCATTAGAGACAACAGATTGTAGCTGACGGAATATGACAACTTTTGAACTATTGGAGGGAGGAGAAGTTTGAAAGGCCATAACTCAGGTAACTCCTGGAGAAGATAAAAAACTAATGAAAAAGGAGACATACCTCACTCCCTCTCTCTCCCTCTCCCTCTCTCCCTCCCTCTCTCTCCTACTTCAGTAAAATGAACCAGACAGGACGAGTGGCTACAGGTCTGCTGTACAACACTCTGTAGGTATCCTCTACTGCAGCCGAACCTGCTAGCAACCACCCACACACCATCAGTACTGACACTGGCTCTCAGTAAAGAGTACAGCATCAAACCAACATAGAACCTTATGTATACACACATGTCACCCTCTGTCTGCATGGGGAGAGAAGGAATAGTTATAATTAATGAAGCACTAAATAGCATTTGAAATAACAGGTTTATAATATGTAGTTCAATAGAGATTTAGTCCTCAGATAGTTATTATGAAATATATTCACCATTTTAGTATTCCTTCCAGTATATCTACCTGCCAATACTCCAATACTGATATTGTACAGATCAGCAACTCTCTCCTCATCTGGTGACAGTCTTGAAACCTTTCATGAGGTAAATGAAGAAGCTATAACTTCTAATAGTTCCCTACCTTTTCAAAGTAAGCCTTCCAGTCTGGTTTAATGGACTGTATGAGAGAATTAGGTACAACAACAGTTAATAAATGAAGATCATTAGTTAATATTAGATTAGACTGAGCAGTCTGGAGTGACTTGTATACTGAACTGGAATCAGACACAGTAATACAACCTGTGGAGAGAGAGAGGGAGGGAGAGAGAGAGGGGGGGTGAGTCATTTATCATAATGAATACACAAGTTCATGTACCTTTATGTACTCCTCTCCCAATGTTAGTTATCTCATAATGCTGTATCTTCTCTCCTTCTCTCTCTTCCTCTCTCAGTGAGATAAGCTCTGAGCTAGTTAGACTGGAGATGATATCATTGCAATGTTTCTTTAACGAGGCCTCATCATGATCTTGAGAGAAGAGTAAAGTACACTGGAGGAATGGACTAATGTCTGAGGATGACTTCAATATCTGATAACAAAGAATAAATAAATAAATAAATAATATTCTTACTTTCAAAGCTATTAATGAGAGGATCAGTGATGTGAATGGTTGCTGGTTGTCAAGAAGAAGGCAACTAGTACACTTATCACATGGTTTCGACAAGACACTGAGAAACTAAAAAATAAACATGTAAATATATACATGAATCTTCAATACTCACTCTCGCTTCATCTTTCGGCTGCAGTATTACGATACTTTCTCCTTTATCACATAAACCTGATCGTCCTGCCCTACCGGCCATTTGCTTATAAGAACTGAGACTAATGAAGTCCTGTCCAATGTACGGCTGACGAATGATGACCCTTTGCAAAGAGAGCGTTAACAGGAATCAATATCACATGTATTATGATGCTGGGGCTGCATTAAAGTGGTGTTAAAGTTGCGTTATACCTCCTGGCTGGTAGATTGACCCCAGCTGCAAGTGTTGAGGTACAAGTAATGACAGAGAGTATCCCCGAAGTGTATCCTTCTTCAATGACCTTCCGCTCATCACCAGTTAATCCTTAAGAGATAAAATAACTTCAATACTTTTAGGAATCAGTTCAAACTTTCTACACAGCATAAGGACATCAATATGTATCAGAAAATGTAATAAAAACTTGGGATTAATTTGGAGCCATTTTTTGGAAAAAAAACCATGGGCTATAGCCTTGGGTATTTTTCAGAAATTGGCATATTTTTAAAATGTCCATAATGTAGTGTTTCTAACCGGAGTGGTGATAGGCTATGCCATAAGGTAGAGTCTGTGCTAGTACTGGACACAGACCAGCTGCTTCAATACGCAACTGCTGAATCAACATCCTACGCTCTTTCTCCTTGGTGGATTTAGCCGATCTAAAAAATTGTAAATATTTTAAGAATAAGTATCACAATATTTCATTACTTTGGTAGTCCTTTAGAAATCATGAGGGCAACATTCTCACAATTCTTTTTAGTGGAACAGAATATCAAACAAGACGACGGACTCACTTCACTAACTAGACCAACCAGTTGATCAGGATCAACCTGTTTTAAATGGGTGTGGTTAAAATCAGCCACACCCTCTTTTAATAACCTTATTTAATGATCCTACTATACGCCTTTTAAATATTGGTTCAACGCCCGAGGTTAGGCCTTCCCTTCGTCCAATAGAATATATTGATTGACCTAATTTAATATATTCATTGAGTTCAACCTATTAATAACAATAATAATAAATCATTAATTAATTACGAACTGGTCTAAAGTTTCCAGTAAATAGTTCTGCTCTCATGAAAGAAGCAATTTCATGTAAATTACTCAGTGTAGCACTCATCCCAACCAGCTGGACACTAACTGGATAAAAGAAAAGTAATACGGTATAACCTCCTCCTATTGTGGACACTGAAGGACACCTCTATAATGAGGAGGGGTAGTATCAGTCCCAATACAATAGTAATGTGTATTAATGAACCTCTGAAATAAGGACAGGTTCATAATCAGGAGCTAGGGTATTATTGGGTCCCAAGGTGTCCGGAATAGACAGGACTGACTGTACATGTACAGTATTACAAACCTGATGTGAATAGCAGTTTAATGATACAGGATTCCAATACTGCTCCTCTCTGACCTCCTCCTATCATGTGAAGCTGATTAATTACAATTAATTAATTATTCATTGATTAGATATTAATTACCTCATCGATGACAACCAGTCCAATTGAATCCAATCTATTGATTTCAATTAATGAATTAATTAATGCATTGCCCTATTAATCATAATAATTGGATTTTTACGATTTTTAAAGTTGCTCCAAAATCGAACAAAAGTCCCTGTACTACAGTACAAAGTACAGCTGCAGGTAAGGTACCTTTTCAATGGTGGCAATAAAGATGGTGTTCTTCTTTCTCTTCCTAACAGGTGGTAGTCTTCCCTTACTTGAAGCATATTCTTCAACTGCAAAGGAAAGCTCTTCAGCGAATGGTAGCAACTCCCTCACCTTATAAAAGACAGAGATCAAGAGAGCAACAAAAAATAAAATAAAATAAATCTATACTGAACTGACCTTCTCCTGTACTATAGATACATATGGCAGTATAAAAAGAACATCTTTATACTTTAACATTATCTGCTGGAGTATGAGTATCTCTGCTACTAGAGTCTTTCCTCCACTGGTTGGGAGGGAGTATATTAAATTATTACCAGCTGCAACACCAGGAAGACTTAGACACTTATTCTGCCAATCTGTAATAATAAAATAAAATAAAGAAAGGACTCACTCTCTCTACTGATATCTTACCATACAGCTGCTCAATCCCTCGGTTCTTTTTGAAGCACTCCTGGACGGTTAGTGGAAGACCATAGAATGTTCCGGAAGGATAGACATGAACCCTATCTTCTTGTACTGTGAAGTGATTGTCCTCAGTGGCAGCCATTTTATCAGCGGATTTATTATGAGCCGAGCTTAGGTTGAAGCTGCTTAACTCGGACATATTAACGCCCTCCAATAATTTATCAATTTCATTTTCGTTATCATCTTTAGAAGAAGAGGAGGAGGAGAGATCTGATGGAAATAAAATGTCACGGAGAGGTGTACTACAGGAAACTGTCGGATCAATGTGTTCCTCCTCTCTCTCGCTATCAATATTACAGGACCCAGTAGCTAGCGAGGGGTCTGGAACACTAATGTCCGTATCAGACCCAGAATGAGTAGTTTTATTGGTCGTTTCATCACTCAGTGAATCAGAGAACCTTTTCCTTCTCTTTCGTTGCTGCCTAAAAACAAAAAAATAGTTTTTAAAAATTATGCACATTGATTGATCATTCAGTCTCTCTCCTCCTCCTACCTTTTAAGACTTCCCCCATATTCATAGTACATTCTATGATTCTAATGGCGGGAAATTACGCGGGAAAAATAACAGACTCACATGGAATCTATGATGGAATTTAAAAATCAAACCCCACCCTTTAATTAATTTTGCGTGGGAGGCTTCATACTTGTTGTGGCCACGCCCATTTGTGGTTGAGCTCCGCCCATTAATAGAAACACACCTAACACAGGTTAGCTAGCTGGTTAGTTACAGTTGGCATGGAAGGAGAAGGTAAGAGAGAACGGCTCAGTATTGGTCGTATCTTTTACGCTCACGGCCTCATGTGTGCCAGCTACCCGCTACCAGCACTGATCTGTGCAGCCTTCATTGTAATACTGTGCAGGTAAACCACTAATCACCAAAATAATGATAATAATAAATGTTTCTCTTTTAGTCTCCCATTCTTTGTCACTACATCAGGTGATGTTAATTCTCCTAAAGGCTGGAGATCCCCCTGGTTGAACTATCGTAAGTCGCTGGATAAAGGAGGAGGGGAAATGGGCGGAGTCAGAGAAGAAGAATGGATTATTAATAATGCTTCATTAATGTCAGTTAGGACACCACAATGGGTCAGTAAGAGGAACTAATCGTACTTTAATAATGAATACAGACTAGCCTTTATATAATGGACACTGTGTCTCTGTTATACAGAGGTGTCCTTTATGTGGAGGTTATTTTATACAGTAAGGAATGTACTCCATTTCTATAGTTCCTGGGTCTTCCTGAAGTGATTGTCTATCAGCTTTATGTTCACACTGATGTGGACTGTGAGCAAATGGATGCACTATGTCAACGGTCTTTCTACAGACTAAGCAAGACCACATCAGCCATCATGCTTCAGTCCATAGAACAGGCTGACAAGTAAGGACCAGAATGAGCACATGTACTTGTTCAGTAGCGGTAATGTATGACCGGGTTTGAAGGGTTTTTGTGAAGATTCGTAGAATTGAGTTTCATTTTACATGTACATTGTAATACAGTATTAAAGAGTGGTAATTCTATTCTGAACCTGTTACCCTGAAAACCCGTACCAATGATACCGCTGTACCTCATGGTGGCTGAATGGGGAGTGGAGGAGAGGGTGGTTACAGTTAGTTTAGCTAAAGTTGTTACAGATTAAGATCAAAGGTTGTATCTCTAGTGAAAACTATTGGATGTTATCACTTTTTCTCTCCTCACCTTTTTCTCTCACCTTTCTCCAGGTCTTGTAGGTCAGTCCTTCATCCTGCTGCTGTGAAGTTTGCTCGTATCCTTAGCAACAAGGACACGCCCCCTTCATCATTCTCTTCACTGATCCTGTCTCCGTTACTTGACTCAATGTATCAGTGAGTAATGAATAACTAATTAATTAATTAATTAATTAATTGCTAGTAATTAAAAGGTTATTGTAAAAAGGGTTAATAATTTCTTCTCTTTTTCAATGTAGTGAGACAGATCAGTTGAAGCAGTATAATGATATTAAAGATAATCTCACACTACAGACGATTAAAGGTGATATAGTATTCTTTTAAAAATCAATTTTATATATTAGTCAATTAAGGAAAAATTAGCGCCCAACTGTTATTATTATTATTATTATTATTATTATTAATAGAGTTGCTGTACGGCGGTTTCTGGGAGGAGAGTCACCTGAGAGGTCAGGAGAGCCCTCACTCACTCTCTCAGCATCGTTTCGCCTTTTCCTTTCTATTTAAACCAACTGCCGATAATTTCCATCAGTTGAGGGCGTGTCTTGATACCCTGGATGGGGCGTGGCCATTCAAAAGACCGCCAGTACGAATATTCACTAAACATTTCTACTATGAATCTGATCTGTCACTCAGTGACTTTGCACCTTTACTGTTCCTCTATTCAATCGTGTTCCTATACATAACCTTCTCAGTTGGTAAGCTCCTCCCACTATTATTAATTTATTATTATTATTATTATTATTATTATTATTAGGTAAGATAGAGTTGGTTCGTTCAAAGTTAGGACTAGGTTTTACAGCTGTCATTACGGTGATATCATCACTAACAATGTCACTGGGAATATGCACCTTCTTTGGACTTAGCATCACTATTAGTGGCAGGTATGGAGGGTCTATATTACAAGGACACTTTATGTTCAATTACTTCTCTTCTCTTCTCTTTAGTGAGGTCTTTCCATTTGTTGTGGTTGTCATTGGTTTGGAGAATATTTTGATAATAACTAAAGCAGTTATATCCACTGATCAAGGACTTGATGTGAAGCATAGGTACTGCTAATGTAGTCCAGCCTCTCTGGAGGTGTGTGTGTGTGTATAAGTAATGTAATACCTGAGGACTGAGATATCTGCTTGAGGTGAAGCTGAGGGCAGATATCAAGGGACTCAGGTATTACATTACTGATACTCACCTCCAGACACACACACACTGGTCACTACACATGTTACAGCAGTTATTGATATTTCTTCCTTTTACAGGATAGCTGAAGGTTTAAGCAAAGAGGGGAAGTCCCTGCTATATAATTTATTAACGATATTGTGTCTCGTTATTCTTGGGATGTTCACTTTTAATTACGCAATGAAAGAATTCTGCACCATAGCCCTAGTGGGGATACTCTGTGATTATTTCCTCCAGATGGTGTTCTTCACCACTGTGCTCTCCATTGACATGAAGAGACTAGAGCTCTCCGATTTAAAGGACTCCGCCTCTCATTACCATGGCAACCAGCAGGTGGGCGGGGCTGCTAAAGTCCGTAGGGTCGCTCGTAGAGATAAAGTTAATAATTTTCTTGTCCGTGGTCGCTACGCTCAGAAGTTTATGATTGTTGTTTTGCTGGCGTACATGACTTCAGCTTTCTCTAAGACTGAGGTTTTCAACTCTATCGTTAGTTCTCTCACTGATTCATCGACTCCGCCCAGTGCTGGACCGGCCCCGCCCACGGGACCTGTAATGGGAGGAGAAAGGGGTGGCGCTTCAAAGGAAACCACTCAACAGCAAGACAATAAAGAAGGTTAGTGTATGAATGAATTGACTCACTGGTTTTTGGTGGTTGTAATTTTGGCAAAATATTGGCTGTTCATGCTGTTATTATGGATTCCAATTTGCCAAATTCAATCCACCAAATTTTAAGACTATTGTATTATGTATAATTGAATTATTTTTACTAATACAACCATCAATCAGGGCCTTTCAGCCCTTCCAAAAATTGTTTGGAACACAACTGAATAACTTGCTTCTCATCAGTCAGTCAATTCAATCCTTTAAATAGCAGTTAAACTATGTGAG